TATACTAATATATTTATATAATGTATATATTAATACTATATTACTATATTATGGATATATATTATATAGGTTAATATATATATATATATATATATAAGTATATGTTATATCTTTATAATATGTGGGTGTGTGTGGTTTGTGGGTGTGTGTGTTGTGTGTGGTGTAATGATGTGTGGTAGTGTGCACGTAGTACAACACTGCTGAAATCAAATAAAGTACATGAAATTTTACAAAGCAGACATATAAAACTAACTAATCACAGTAATATAAATAGGGAAATGGATATGTAGACTGTGCAAATATGATGTATCTTAATATTGTTTAAAAACAAGATTCAGTATATATAGTAGTATTCATGGATATGCATGATTTAGGTAGTAAAGAGTAGGAAAAGACTTGTTTTTCTCCTCGGGACCGGAAGTACTTTAGAAGCATATAATGTTAAAAGCCTTTTTTTAAACTTTAACATTTCCGGGGGGATTTCCCAACTTAGTTTCCATGGTATATTAAAGCTTATGAAAATGTTGGTTGATCAACAAAGCCTTCATATGCTTAACATTACGAAACATAAGAGCGTGAAGTAATTTGACACACTTCTATCTTCATTGTAAGGATATATATACTTTATCTAATGAAATTGAATTACACTTTTGTTCAGCAGTTAAACAAGAAAAAATAAAAAAAATCATGTAAGTACATACGCTTTTCATTATCACTGACGATAAATCGCCAAAAGCCTGTCATAGTTTGCCTAAAAAGTTAAATCAGTTGACAGAATGTGATATGAGTGCGGAATTTCATATCAGATGTTGTCAGAGTCACCGGAATTTAAAAACCTGATGACAATGCAAGAAAAGTACACTTCAGAAGACTAGCACTTTGCTTACATCTGCAAGATGCAAGAGAACTTTATTTAGCTGCAATTAATAAAAAATACTTTATTTTTCAAAGAGGGTAAATTTACACACGAGTCGCAAGTTTCCACGTTGATAATCAATTTAATACCTGAAATGATAAAGAAAGTAAGATCAGCTCTGACGCTTTGATAAACAAAGAGGCAAAACATTTATTAATAATATTTATCTGCATATCCAACAATTACTACGACCGCGTCACATAAATGATTAAATTAAATATTTACTAGACTTATTGGCGTTCGAGATAGTATTATATCTGGTTCGGAGACAAAATTTGGGGCTACTTTTGTTTATATTGGGCAAATTAGCGCGGTGAAATTTTATTTCAGGTTTTTTGAATTGGTCGCAAATAGATGATATATTTAAATGAATCTATGCTCTACATTTTCACTTAGATCTTTTAGGGCATGTGTGGAAGAAGACCGTGTGTTCTTCATTCCACGAGTGCTCTGAGCGATAGCATTTATTGTTTATATGGTGAGAAAAGTAAATATAACTGATTGGATTATAAAATTTAATTATGCTAAAATCTAAGTACTGGAACTTGTCGTGTTCTGAATACACATCGAACTCTGTGGCAAGTGATATACCTCAGGCGTATTGTGGATCTCACATCTTCGGAAGATACTATACCATCAAAATGCATGAACGATGGGGCATTGACTTTCCTACATATTTAGAAGAAAACTAAGAAAAATACAATATAATTCGAAGGCTAATATTTAAGTTTTTTTGGCAATTGTTTCAGGATGGGCTTGAAAACAGGATTGGAAACATTGTTTTTTTGGTCTTCAACACATAATCTTTTTAGATGCAATACATTTTAGCTAATTTGGATAAGTATGGGTGTTCCTGTAAATGAATTAGCACACCATTTTGATTATTCATTGTGTCTGTACTTCATGATGTGAATAGATCTTAATCAAAACTGCATCAAGCAATAAATAAAAAAAAAATAATCTTCTAGATAACATCAGTTAACAGCATCTGTTCGCGAATACATAATCAGTACGAAATAAAAACCATACCTAATAACCCCTTGAAAATAAAAAAAACAATGCTTTCCATAACATCTCATCTTGTTCAGATCACTCTAGAACTTCACTTGTTCCAATGCACCACTCATGATATTTTTTCGGATTAAATCTTTCTGAGGTAGCTTTCCTAAGGAAGAACGCCCTATGCAAGTTTGAAATTACGTTTCTTATTTTCCTAACATCATGTACCATTTGATTATATTAATCAAATCCTGTCAACACATAACCCTTCTCGCACCAGTGCGTGATATGAGCCTGTCTATAAATACATATTAAGACGGCTCCGTAAATATGCTCCATTATTGTTACACGAAAATCGTCGGGCAGGTAAATTTATACTACGTGTATATGTTTTCGACAATTACATATATGACCAAAGTTATGGTCAGCTTATTTCCCTCAACCTTCCATTAATATATTTGAATTCTTATGTTGTTAATTTTCTCTTCGCCCTTCGCTCCACACATAGGCTGTTCTATTGATGTATCTGAGATGTTATTTCTAGATCTACAGGTAATTTCATTCAATCAAACGCCCTTTTAATAGCCCATAGATTTGCACCCCTTTGATAAAAAAAAGATTATTGAAAGAAACCCCTTCCCCTCCTTACTTTTCTCTTTCCTTATCCATTTTTTTTCTATTATCCTTTAATACGATTTCATAATGGGGAAAACATATGGACCCTACTGTAAATGTTCTACCAACTAACTCTGGAGTCCTTCTTTCTTCCTGTCGGCAGGGAATCTCCCACGGGGACTATTTCTGGGTTTTGAACTCGCAATATGTGTGGATGAGGGAGCTGTGGGCTTGTGGAGTGTCGTTATTTAACACAGCTGTAGTTGTCTTCTCGGTAAGGGGTTCAATTACGTTGATAGCTCGTAATCTTTGTTTACATACGGGAAAATAAAAAACGTGCACGACCACAAAAGACGCTGCGCCGCGCCACATGCTACACACATTCTAACTTCAATCACTACACGTGACTACACAAATGTTTCACAATATAACACACCACTCACACGACACACACATTTCTCACAAACACTAATTTATTGAATAGAGGCACACAATTTTATACCCATTAATCGACCGACAAATGGGTGACACAGCGCGCAGCGCAATGTTACGCCAAACATCATGCATGGCTGTTTGATCAGGACAATCACACACTGGACAAACACAAACACATCACACAGCACACACCAGAGAGTTGTGATACGACACACCCAGACGCAGGCACATCAACGCATCTACGATGCAAAGTAGAAAATGTACAATAGTCAATGAAAGCGAATTGGTCATGTATCATATCATAGCGCGCATTCCGTTCAAGCAACGCAGCCACTTGGCATACACACGCGCGCCGGGCATGCAAGGGGATAGGCACAAAAATAAACCATAGGGGGCAGACACAAAGAGAAAAGGAGGAGAGTCAGAAGTTAATGCGGAAGAAGTAAATTTTCAGGGAGAAGCACGGGTATAATTAGGAGAGAGAGGGCGGCAGTTTGGTGTGGTGGTGGGTGTGAGGTGGGGGGTACGCGTGTACGCAGAAATCAGACGGAAACTCAGATAATGTAATAAAGCTAGCATTAAGCATAGATGTGGATAGGATGGATCAGTAAGGCGGATAGAAACATATTGGGATACAGATGACACGGGCAGACAGCACAGTAAGAGAAGATAGTTAACTGTGATAACAGTAGAAGAAGAACGTAACTGAGCCCTGATAATAGGTTAGCTATTTAGCATGTAACAACTCCAGTATAATACAGTACAATCTACAATTCAATTACGAAAACAACAGTTGTAACCACACTTACTGGCGCTCAAATGAAGCGAGGCAAGATAATTGTGCCTATTAACATGCGATTTAAACAGTTACGCCAATTAAGGAGAGAACAATAGAGCAAAGGAAATACACGGTGGGTATTTAAGATACATAAGAGGTTCTTCACCTCATAATAGAGACGGACGGGGCTAGATTGGGGAAAGCAGTATTAAATATTGACTCATCAGACTCTATACTATATGTTATCGTTTCTGGGAGCGGCATAATCGAAATAGGGAAAGACGCGTGACAAAACACGAAAATAGTAAAGCGTACGGGATATACAAATTGCTATTGACAGATTTCATCAAAATTCTGGAGAAAAGAGAAAATGAATAATATAACGATCAATAATATAGCAATAAGATAGATAAAAATGTACATAAGCAATCCGAAATAGTAATCTACGGACCTAGATTTTGAAGGTGATTTGACCTGAAAGGTGTGTTTGATGTGATAGTGTGTTGTGGATGTTGATAGTGTTGTGTGTGTGTGTGTGTGTTTGTGTGTTGATGTACATGCAAAATAAAATCTTTTAAGTAGTGCCTAATGTACTCACACTCGAAAACTACCGATCGAGCCGGGTGCAAACATCATTTAGAAATTCTCCAAATTTAACATTTGAAGAATAAAGTTTCAAATAGGAGTCTAAACTTTCTCAGGAGACAAATGACACAGCAGATCTTAAAACATCCAATTAGCTACCTTAACCATACCCTCTAAACAACATTAAAATTAGCATATGAAAAAAATATTGTCAAAAATATTAAAAAAACAAAAAAAAAAAATAAATAAAAAATAATAATTATATATATATATATA